ACAGAAAAATGTTTGTGACAACAACTCCCCCCTTCCATAAAACTTTTTCTCTTTCGTTTTTTTCCTAATCCTTAAAATACTTTCACCTTCTATTAAAAAACCACTTTTACCTTTACTTTTTCATACCCTACCTATCATATTATACTTTTTCTCTAATAACCAATCTATCACATCTTACTTTTACCATCAAATCTGGGGCAAAATTGGATAGTCAACCAAAAGTATATTTTCCTTATTTTTGCCCAAAATCAAAATAGGAAGGGTTTAAAGGAACGAAGGAAGTATTATTTACAAAAGTTGAATTGTTGTAGCTTTGTCACCCCAAAGTATTCAAATATTAGGGCGACCCAGATTTTTTCACAAGAATATAAGTGTGTGAATACTCGCTTTATTTGAATACTTGGCGTCAAATTCACTAGACGTTATGTAATCAAATACTCTCTCCGTCTTAAAACGTTCATCCTGTTTCTGTTTATGAGATTTGATCGACTTTATTTTTAATTCAACTTATTTGAACATTCTAGGACGGAGGAAATCCTTATTTTAGCACTTGAATACTACGGTGTCTTCTCTGAAAATTTCAAAATGTAATGAATCATCATAAGAAAACTACTTACCAAATTAAAAACTTTCTACATTCAACCCCGCCACCCTGGCTAGGGGCTCTGCCCATTAAACCCTGCAAGATGTTGCCATCTCTAGACCCCAATCAAGACTTCAGGGCTGGAGGAACACCGCCCAGGGACTAGCTTGGGTTCGGCGGCCAAAAGAAGGAGAAAGACAGTAGGTTTAGGGTTTTAGGAGAAGAAGAAAGAATTAGGGAGAGAATTATGGGATATTATTTCTTGCCTTCCTACGATGCCTCATGCGCCGTATTTATAACAACATACTCCCCCAAACCCTACAACTACTCTAACCTGTCGGTTCAAGAAAGGCGTCAAGGGAAAGAACCGAAAAGAAAACTCTTGAAGGAGCTTATAATCCACTCTTCTAATAAAATCTATGTTACATAAATAAGAAATAATAATAAAATACTAAACATAGTCGTCGTAACGTCGGGGTGCCCGTATGTGTCTGATCTTCGGGGTCGTCCCGACCTGTCATGGTTACCCTCCACTGTGTCCTCCGTACATGTATCATTGTCTCCCGCATGGTTCCGTTTGTTTGGGCATAGTTTCAATATAAAGAAAGTATTGAAAACCCCTAATATAATGGAGCGCGCTTAGCAACTACTCCCTCCCTCCCGCAAAAAGTTTCCCTTTCTTTTTTTCATCCGTTCCAAAAAACACTTCTCGTTTTCTTTTAAAAAAATCACTTTTATCCCTACTAATTCTTAACCTAACTATCACATCACACTTTTTCTCTATTAATCTATTCAACACCAAAATACACTCTCCTTAAATTCTCAAAAAGTCAAAACGGAAACTTTTTTAAGGGACGGAGGAATAGAAAAAAGAAACTACCTCTCATGAAACATTAATACACATGAATACAAAACTTTTGGTCATGTTGAAGGAATTAGAGTTGATTGGAGTTCTACACGTATTAGGGAAGTTCTAATGCCATCTTTAATAAGGTACATCTTCATTTGCATTGACATCATAAAAAATTAGTCTTTTACAGAAAAAGATCCACTTGCAAGTTCATAAAAAGTATAAGGATATCCAAATTTCAAACGTCGATTTTAAAACCACGAAAGAGCAACTCTTATGTATAATGAAGCATATATATGTATTCAGGGGGCGGTTCGGGTGACATGAACCCCCATGTCATCCTATGACATGGGCTCCGATAGAGCATCTACGATTCTCCGCTTGAAAATTGATAATTCCTACCCCCGAACACCCCCGGTAAATCCCCCCACCCCCGGCCCGACCCGAACATACCCCTGCATCCCCGTCAATTGCATACCACAAGATTTAGTTGACTATTAGTCAAATTTTGACTTCAAAATCAACTAAATCTTGTGGCCTGCAATTGACGGGTGTGTGGGGGTGTTTATACCGGGTCAGAGGTGGGGAGTTTACCGGAAGTTAGGGGGTAAGAACTATCAATTTTTTCAAACGGGACATCATATGAACCTTGGGTCATCCTATGAAATTGAATTGAATCTCGATGTCATGATGGGAATCAAGGTGATGAATTCAAATACATTTTGGAATTTTTGAATTGAAATGGGATACAAAGAGGGTGTTTGGAGTATGTTTGAAAATAGTTTTTGGGCTTCTACTTCATTGAAACACAATTCTAAGTGTTTTATAATTAGCTTTAGATTATAGGTTGTGCTTTCAGAAGTATAAATTGTGCTCTATAAGTGATTTTCACTAAAGTTCGGAGTAACTGTTTTCCACTTCTAATTTAACGCATGGACTTTTTCAAGACTCACTGCACCCACAAACACCCTCGTAATATCATCGGAACTTTTGTAATTGAAAGATGGTTAATTACAGTATTTAAGGAAATTGAAATAAGGCTAGCTAGTGTATTTAATTAGAACTAATATTACTACTAGGAACAAATTTAAAGCATACCAAAAAATATATATAATCCGATCCCTACGTTAATTTGCAGAATCCTATCACGCGTGGGATTTGCATGAACTTTTTTATCCGGAGCACCCAAACCCTATACATATATATATATATAAAACCTTTTCCCATCTTTTACGTGTTTTAATTAATTCTTGAGAGAAAAAAACCAAATTTCAATATGAATACTATAGATCTTTTTAACGGCGCATTCTACTTGGGTGCGGCTATGCTTATTCTGTATGTAGCTTTGGAGGCCTGTTTCGGCTGCCAACTCCCGCCGCCGCCGCCGCAGAATCCCAGCCCTAACGTCGTCGTGGTGGTCCCGGAACAGCACCCCCGCCCGGCCCCGGCCCCGGCCCCGGCCCCGCTTCCCCGGCAGCCGATCATACGGGCACGGGAGATCAAGCTGAACGTAAACACGTTCCCGGAAGGGAGCGTGAGGAAGGAGGAGAGAGCGAAAGAGTGCTCGATTTGCTTTGCGGAGTTTAAGAAAGGCGAAATTTCGACGGTTCTCAAAGGGTGCGGTCACAAGTTTCATGCGGATTGCATCTCCGCTTGGTTCGCCCGTAAACTGAACTGCCCTCTCTGTAGGACTGTGCCCCTATAGCTTTCTCTTTTGATTTGATCCAACCTAACAATGATGTTTCTTTGTGTTTTGTCCTTGTATAATCCGATCCATAGATAGGCTCTAATATAATCATGGGTTTTCAATATTTTGAAGAAGAGAGATTTATGACTCTAACATACACGAAAAATGCTAGGGTAGATGTGTACCCCGTATGTCCCCCAACCCCTCCTTATTCACAGAAAAAGGTAAGAAACTCAAAAAAATAAAATAAAATAAAAATGGATGGTGGAGAAGGGAGTGGTGTACATTTGAAGTACACCTTTGGTGTACCCCTAGCATTGCTCAACATATACTCCATCTTTGTTCACCAAAACTATGTACTCCCTCCGTCCCAAATTATTTGCCACATTTGCTTTTTCAACAGTGGCGAGAACTTTTGTTTATTTCTACGTTTTTATTGGTTATTTGATAAAATAAAATATTCTTGACACCTCTTATTTCGAAGAACTTTTCATGTAGTTTTTTTATATGTAATTTTTATTTTTTATTTTTTATTTCTTTACCAATATGCAAATAAAATGAATTAAAAAAACTTGATATTTTGCCTCGGTAATAGAAATGTGACAAATAATTTGGGACAGAGGGAAGAGGGAGTATCTTTCATTATTATTTTGTCTTTTTCTTAAAATACTTAAACTTTTTTTTAAAAAATTAATCATATCCTTACTTTTTCTTAACCTACCTGTCAAATCGTATTTTTTCAATAATAATTTATCCATCACATCTTACTTTTACTCATCATATTAAGAACAAAATTGGAAAATTAATTAAAAATATATATACACTCCTTATTTATCTCATTAGTCAAAATAGAAACTATTTTGGTAAATGAAGGGAGTATAAAAATATACTATAGATATCATGAACGTTAATTAGATCTATGTTTGAGTTTACCCTTGGACATGCAAAGGCTTGAATTGGGGGATTGGGGGGGGGGGGGGGGGGNTTTCGTGTTTATATTTGTATTTTTGGTAATATTTTCAAAGCGCCAAGACATAAACATCGAGGTAGTGTATTGAGAGCGTGTTTGAAAGAGCCAGACATAATATATTTGCTTCTCCAGAATAGTGTTTTATGAACAAAATGATAGCGAAGAAAAACAGAAATTGGTATGTCAAACAAAATAAAATAATAACACTTATAACAGAAGCTAAATTCTGAAAAACAATATAATGTCAAACACCCTCTGAATTGAATCTTATATCCATTTGCATTCTAAAAGTGGGCCTGATTTATTTAGGAATTTCAAAAGTTATTTAAATCATCGATATATTAAACTAATATTTCAAATATCTTTATAAATCTAATGATATTAAAAACTTCAAAGATTTTCAAAGAGTACATGCTAAAGTTGTGCTTGGGAAGCACCTTACTATCGACTTTCACAATACTTTGAGCGGAAGGAACATGATGAATTGAACCTAGCCTCTAACTAGCGGGAAGCCTATGGATACCTTGCGGGCCAGGCTCGAGTTTCAAATGTAAGGCCCGCTATGCGAGCAGGACTAAATCCATACCTCAAAAAATCACTCTTCTCGACCGGATCACAACTTTGATCCGGTCTACTAAGTAATTAGTAGCAAGACTAAGCTAAGGATGCATAATTGAAGACCTTGTCAAAAAAGCTTATTCGTATGCCAGATCAGCTTTCTTTCTTTTCTTTTTTCTTTTTTTAAATTTCCTTTTCCTTTTTTGACTGCCAAAACACAAAGACCAAACAAAGTGTAACTGTAAGACTGATATACTCCATGATAAGACAGAAACAACGTGCAATGAATGAAATAAGCTAAAATTAATTAATTAAAATAAAATAAGCATCACAATATTAAAACAAATGCAAACTGAACGTTGTTAATTAATTAATTATCACAAAGGAAAATATATAATTACTCCCTTATATAGTAAACCAAATAAAACTAAGATATAGTGATAGAGTTTAGAAGGATACACTACACACATGCACTCTCAATCCCATGGCTTAACACATAACATAATGAAGACTTATGTCAAACAATATTAATGATCTTCTTTCCCACTTTTCATGTCTCATGTTGTGATATTCTCCTGAAAAAAATGTGACAGTCGCATTAGATATGAAAAGTGTGACAGAAGATCCGAACTATATATGAGCGTGCCCGATTTTGATCGTATCATAGAAGGTCATGCGTGGTGGGAGAGGACGCGTTGATGCTCGAAAACCCGACCCCGCAGCCGGTCCATCCCCAATAGTGATTGTTGTTGTTGTTCTCCAATGTCCCTAAGAAATGCTTTGTTGAATTCAAACCTTGCCTCATTTCCTCCATCTTTGGAGCTGATGCTTCACTCATCATGTGGAAGTTAGGGTATAGGTTTGAGTGGGAAGAACCACCTAGGAGCTCATGATATCCTCCTAAATAGGGGAACTGGAAACCCAGTTCCCCCATTCCTCCACCACCGCCTCCGCTTGTGACCCCAAGCGGAGACAGGTGAAACCCGTTGCTGCTTCCTTCGTAATGGTTCGCGTTTTGAAAAGCAGGGGCGGCGGTGATGTGTGTCGGCGGTGCCAGTTGTGGGTAATGTCCGCCGCCTATGTCTATAGGGCTTACGCATGGCGATGTTGAGCCTCCACCGCCGTTGTCGCCATCTGCAGCCCCCGGTTTCATCTTCTCCAAGCTCGGAGCGCCGCCGGCTCCTGCTGACGAGCTGGACTTCGAGCCGTTGTTATTCGCGACCTTGCTTCTCTTGTTCCTCCTGCACCCTCCGCCGACCGGGACGTTTCTCAAAGCCCCGCCCCGGGTCCAGTACCGGCGACAAGTCTTACAGAAATGTCGCGGTTGCGTGAGGCTGTAGTTGTTGAAGTAGCAAAACTTGGTATGCGTAGATTCGCACCTTGGACACTTCAAACCGGCCTCCGGAACCGGAACCTTTGCCTGCCTGGCTCGATCTACCATCGAGCCAGGCCGGATCGATCCGAGACCGCCTCCCACCAAAGATGGCGGTTGAGTCGTCAGTCCATTCGGAAGCTCCGGATTTTCTAGTAAGCCACAACCGTCACCGGCTCCGCCTTGATGAAGGCCGGATTGCTGCAACTTTATACATTTCCATATCAAGAAAACAAATTTATAATATATAAAACTAAAGCTAATAAGGATCGGAGTATATACATATCTCCAGCTACGAAATGAAAAATTATTTTCAGTATATTCAATAATCAAAAAAAGAACAAATGAAAGAGGAATATAAATCAGTAAAAATGAATATTACTCTCTTTTTTTTCTTTCAAGATGCACATATGAAGAAAAAAAGAATTAAAGAATGAAAAAAACACATACCTGGTGAAAATTTGGATGATCTAAATAGGCAGAAAAAGAAGAGAAAGCCATGATTTTTTTTTCTTTTCTTTTTTTTTTCTAGCTTTAATATCTTTGATGGATCTCTTTAATCTTTATATCTTTATACTTGTATAAAGTTTGGGTTGGTGGGTTTTGAGAAAATATATGGGGAGAGCATCTGTCAGAGGAGAGAGGCAATCAAGGCCAGCAGGAGGAGGGGGTGAGGGACAGACCCAACAAGAAAGGGAAAGTGGATATAAAGTGGAAGTAGAGATTATACTATTAGGGTTTTCATTTGATTTAGATCAGCAAGTGGGCATGAGCTAAGTTACTTCATTATGAAGCTTTCTTTAGCTTAAGAGAGAGGGAGAAAAACATTTGGTCATCCCAGTGTTTTCATCCGATCCGTTACGATGACATTGGGATGACCAGGAATCCCTACGATACTTTGTTCGAAAAATTGATGTATCACATCTATCCTAACACTTTCAGTAAATCCCTTCATCTCGATTTAGTCTGAACCCGGCCCACACTCACATTTCTTTCAATTGCACTTCTTTCCTCCTCTCTAATAATTTTTGTTAATTTGAAGTCAAGACTTGACTCCAAAATCAACTAAATTTGGGAGGGGTGGATACATTTGAAGGAGGAAGGAGAGTCGGGCCGCGGTAGGCAAGGTTTAGCTGGGGGAGGGGGGTAGAGGAGGTAGCTAGGAACCGTCATTTTTTCAAATAGGCCTATAGAAGTCTCAAATAAAGCTCTTGTCATAGTATGACGGTATCGGAGACAATGTCACTTGAACTCCTTCCTTTCCCCGTTTTTATTGAGAACAAGAACTCGTAGTAATTTTGCCTAGGCAATTATTTTTATAAGTGTATAAGAGACAATCAATGACGGTTTCAATCATCCACACGTAATATTTCTCCTAATTTCAGTTTTTGATATTTGACTAAAATTGTTCTTAATACAATTCAAATCATACTCTGCAGTATTTAAAAATTGGTATAGAATATAAAAATAAAAATTATATACAAAATATTTATTACATACTCCCTCTATCCCTGAATAAATTTTCCCTTTCGTTTTTTCTTTGTCCCCAAATAAACTTCTCTTTTGCCTTAAAAAATCCATTTTACCCCTTACTTTTTCATACCCTACCTATCACATCATACTTTTTTACTAATAATTTACATATCACATCTTACTTTTACACATCACATCAAAGGTATTTTTGGAAAGTCAACACAAAAATATCCCCTCTTTAAATCTTTAAAAAGTCAAAAAGGAAAATTTATTTAGAGATAGAAGGAGTAAAAAATTGAACAAAACATTTCGAATAGATATTTAAAGGTGGCCAATTATATTACAAATGGTATCCTCATCATTTGTATAAAGAGGGAAATTAAAGGTAGCAGACTAGGGAGAGGTTGAATATGGTGGGATCGTCTTACGTAATTCATATTCCAAATGGGGTAGACCTACAGTTCACACACACACACACACACACACACACACACACATATATATATATATATATATTCTCCGTATATATATACTCCCTCCGTCCCATGAAAAATGAGATTTTTGCTTTTTATGAAGGATTTAAGAAGAGTGTATTTTGGTATTCAATTTCTAAAAATGTTCTTTGATGTGATGGGTAAAAGTATGATTTGATGGATAGATTATTAGTAAAAAGGTATGATGTGATAGTTAGGGTATGAAAAAGTAATGGGTAAAAGTGACTTTTTAATAGAAATGAGAAGTGCTTTGTGGGACAGATAAAAAAAGAAAGGAAAAAGGTTTCATGGAACAGAGGGAGTATATTTATATACATACATACATGCAATTTTTAATTATACAATTTGTTAGAATATAAATAATTGTTCCTGGGCTACAACCACAAAGCTTGAGCTTTTGGTTGAGTTGGTTCCTTGACATGGTATCGGAGCCTCGTTGACTAAGAGGTCACGAGTTCGAAACTCAGCGCCACCCAGTTTAAAAAAAAATAAGGTTTCACGTGCAAGGCTCGAAAAATACTACGCCTTCACGTGAGGGGGCGTGTTAGAATATAAATAACTGTTCCTTGGCTACAACCACAAAGCTTGAGCTTTTGGTTGAGTTGGTTCCTTGATTAAATTTTTACTTGATTAAAAATTTGGCACAATTTGACCGGAGCCTATCATAAATTAGAGCAATTATGTGTGTGTGTGTGAGAGAGAAATAATTTAACCCATAAGTTTTTTTTTATATTTTAATGAAGAAATAGAAACTAGATATTCTTTACACTAATCAAAAAAGAAAATAGAACATGATTTTAATTCAAATCGTGCGAATATTGAGTAGAAAACTAATGACTTTGTGAGCCTTATATAGTGGAGAGTGGACGTTGTTACGTTACATGGTCGTTAAAAAAGAGTAATTCAAAAACCCTTTAACTACTTTTATGGACAATTTTATCATCACTTAAAGAATATTCAACAATGTGGGGAAAAAAAGTTAGCCTTGTATTTTATTGAATAATTATGACATCAACTTTAATTATCATACTCCTTATAAATGGTTCATTTGGTAATTATATTCTTTTAGGACCATATCGACTCAATTAAAAATTAAAAAACGTAGTATATCTCCAAAAATTTTCAATCTAATGACACACCATAAGTAAACAACTTCGTTTCCACTAAAGCTCAAATATGGACAAGCTAAGCTTTCTCGTTCATCTTGGGACATGAATATGGGACTTATATATAGTTTTAACTTTTAATTTCAAATATTTTAAATTACTTTACACCTTAAAGTTTATCAAAAACCCAAACTTTAATTGAGTCATATTATGAATTGAAACACTGATATTATTTTTTTTCTAAATCTCCTCACTGAAACAATTTTAGGTTCATCAGTTATATATTTTCTTCTTCTCACTCCTTTTCTTTTCTCGGTCTTTGTCTTTTTCCCGGTCTTGTGAAACTTTATTTCATTTTGACCATCCCTTTATTGTTTGTCTCCTAATTGTCTGCGTCATAAGATAACTTAATGGAGAGTCTAATTAATACATGGTGTTTGTCGTGTATAAGCCACTACTATGGGGTGAACTTATACTACACCACTTAAATTAGTTTTTCAAACACTATTCCCTCCGTCCCATAATTTTCTTCTACATTGAATTGATTCGACATTGGTTTTTTATGAATTTGAAGTTGAATATATATATATATATATATTGATAGGCCAATGGGCTCGGGTGATATAAATTCAGCCCAACACTAGCAAAAAGTCCAAAGGCCTGAGCAATCCACCGCTTGGGCGGCCAGCATATTCGAGTGGCCTGGCCCGCGAGAAACGCAGATCAGCTACTCCTCACCCCTTCAGAATAAATTATTTGGAACAACCGAAAATTGCATCGCTTGCGTTGGCCTCGACAAAAAACCAATGCATAAAGTACAAAAAAAATAATCAATGTTAAAACCGATTTTTGTTGTAGTGATGGTTGATATATATTTTGGAGTGTAAAGTTTGGTTATGGCTAGGGCATTAGCCCATGTTAATATGGCATCATGTGTCCGGGCAGATGGGGCAGTACCCTATGTAAATGCAATGCTAAAACTTTGGTTAAAATTTTGTTGCATGTGTTCGGGGGATAATATATAGCCCATCTGAATGTAATGCCAATGGTAACCCACTTAACAACCACTTGTGGGTTTTGAGGGAGGATTGTCAATGTAACTGCTCTCATATTTAGGGGACTAATCAATAAGTAATTGTGCACTATGGACCAATTTGGGAAACATTTTGTTATTTTATGTCCTAAAATTATTTTCATAGTCACTACTTACATGACAAGAAAATTTTTTCTTACTTTCATCAGTCATTTAATAAATTAATATCATTATGTTACACCTTCTTTCGTATTCATATAATTAAATTTTATTTTTAAATTTTACACTTATAATCATATAAAACATAAAAATAAAAAGTGGTTGTATGAGATTTAGGTCATGTTTTTTTTACCTGATCTGAATGGTTTTGATCTAATTGGAATAAGTTTTGATCTGATTTGAACGTGATTATATTCAGAGTTGTTTCTCATTTGATCTTTTCTGATCTAATTTGATCTAATTTTAATAAAAATAAGTAATGAGTAAAAAATAAGTTGATGTAGAACATGACCTTAGTCTTCTTCTTCTTCTTCTCTTTGTTCTTTCTCTTCTTCATGTGCTCTTTGGTTGGCTGTACGTGGTGAGTTTGGGTTTGGCTTGTGCGGGTTGAAAGTGACGTGCTTGGTTTGATCCTTGCCATAACAAAACTTTATGATCCTTGCTCGCATGCCTCAACCACTTTGGACTTGGCTTTGACTTGGGATTTTTGGCTTATGATCTGGTTCTGGGTTCTGATCTTGTTCTGGCGTGCGTGTCTCGGTTTACCCTTTGGCTTGGGTGCCCATTTTGGTTTGGGGTTGGTACTTCAACCTCTACGAATATTTGTTCACTCGGATATGTATGTTTTATTCTTTGCATTTTGATTTCAATATTATTTATGTCATCCAAGAAAATTAAATAAAACATAATTTCGATCAAAATTCGTAAACTGAAACATAAATTTAGTTTTTTTGATAGGTGTACTAAATACAATATGTTTTTGAGACTTCATTCTTATTTTTCCATAAGGATAATATGTAAACAAACTTAAATAAAAACTACCATCTTGATGCTATTTTGCTAAACCACACTTCAAAATATTGGGATAAATGATATCATGAGAGGATGACCGCCCAAGAACCACAACAACAAAAATCATTATATTCATGTAAGTATGCAACTATCACGTGCATGGATGCATTAATATATCATAAGAACTCTATAAATCTATTTTTAAGAAAATGTAGAAATAGGAAATCCTTCCTTTCCCTCTCTCAATGTTTATTATGGGGAGGAACACTTTGTTCATTCCTAAAGAAATTGTGAGGGTCAACCTTGGTCTTTACCCTCACCAACTTGTCAAAATTCTTCTTGAAATATTTTACTCCCCAAAACTTGGCATCTTCATAGCTTGATGATGAGTAGTCCATGTTGTCATAGTGTGGCCCAATGTCAAGATCCCTGCAATTCATGGAAGCTTCTCTTGGAGACATGGAAACAAATGGACTGAAATACCCATAAACCCTTCTTGCCCAACTCATGTGAATCCCTAATGCCTCTCTCCCCTCTTCACTCCAATCCGCCCAATACTCGATGCTGTACAGATTCCCGGCTCTGTGCGGGAATGGAATCGACGATTCTTGGATCTCCCCCATTCTCCCTCCGTATGGGTTCATCGAGATCACGCCGGAGTTGTTCTCCCGGAGGAAATTCCACCCGCCTTCCAGCCCCGTTCTGGGTATTGGGTTCTTCACGAAATCGGACTTTGATTTGAAGTTGTATGGCTTTCGTCCGCCATTAATGGCGGCTGGATTGAGCAGAGCTTGAATCGGCGTGTCCCCCGGGAACCCGTTGAGGTAAAGGAGGGATCTTGCCCAGCTTGTCTCTACCAGGTCTTCTCCGGTTAGTCGCAGTTCCGGGAACATCTCGTCCATGATCGGGAGTAGTTCGTGCGGTGGTCCGAGGAAGAGGGAGAGGAAATCTGTTGAGACTGTTCTGTCTTCCCCGCCGCGAGCCGTCACTCTGATGAAGATCTCCTCCGGTAACGTCGGGGCGAGTCTCTGCCACTTGTGGACCAGATCTGTGGCGTTTTGGTCCAGATTTCGTGAGACGCTGAAGACGGTGACGATTTCCGGCACGTCGACAAGCCGGAGCTTCCACCCGAGGACGACGCCGAACGTGTTCCCTCCGCCGCCTCGGATTGCCCAGAACAGGTCCTTCCCCATCGTTTTCCGGGTCAGAATCCTCCCGGCGGCGTCCACCAGACGCGCGTCGATCACGTTGTCCGCCGCAAGGCCGTACTTTCTCGACATTGGGCCGTGTCCGCCTCCGCTTATATGCCCGCCGACTCCGACGGAGGGACACACCCCCGCCGGGAAACCAAGAACTCCGGTCTTCTCCCAAATCCCATAGTACAGTTCACCCAGAGTCGACCCCCCGCCGACCCACGCCGTCTTCTCCGACGGATCCACCGTGACATTCCGGAAATTAACCAGATCAAGAATCAAGAACTGGCTCCCGAAAAAGCTCGTGGAAGAAAGTCCTTCGTAATCATGTCCCCCGCCCCGGACCCGGACCTGCAAGTCCTGGTCTTTCGCGCAAAGAATCACTGCCCGGACCTCGGATTCTTCCCGCGGCGTCACGACGATCAGCGGTCTGGGAGTGTCGGAGGTGTTGAACCGGCTGTTTTGGATGCGTGACCGGAGGATCGGCAAGAACAGAGAGCTGTCTGAGGTGAAAATGGTGTCGGAAACAGAGGTTTGGTTGTCCAGTTTATGAATCATGCATTGCTGGAAACCTGAGATATCTGCTAGAGATGGGCAGGAGATGAAGAAGACGATGAAGAAGAAGACCCAAACTGCGTCGTTTGGGTTCTTCATTTTTGTTTTTGATTTTTTTAAAAAAGGGGATGTCTCAGGTGCATATTAGTAGTTTAATGCGAACTCCTGTGGGAATTTATGTCACAGTTTAATTTTCTTAATGATCGGTTTCGATTCACTCAAATTATAAGAATTGTAAGATTTTTATTGTTTGTTTTAAGGAATATAATAAGTGAATGATGTATTAAAATGTGCAATATATTACCCTTTGTGACACATAAAATATAAATTTTTTAAAAATTTTTATGGACTGACAAATAATCTGTAATTTTTTGTTCAAATTCTAATTCCTATATGATATCACAATACTAAAACCTATAAAATGAACAATTACTTTATATTATCTCTGTCTCAGTGTATTTGTTCAGTTTGATTTTTTCGAGTCAAATTATAAAAATTTTGAATTCCAATTACTCTCAATTTATATTGCATATTAGCATAATAAGATACAATTTTGAATGTTCTCAATACGATAAATCCAAAAAAATCATTTTTACCATAAAATACATTACGATTTTTATTTAATTAGAGTTCAAAGTTTATCCAATTTGACTCGAAAAAGTCAAACTAGACAAATACACTGAAACGGAGGGAGTAACCACTTAAGATTTTGCTGATGTGATAATGGGTAGAAGTAGTGAGCATGAAATTGGTGTTTTTATGTGTTTATAGATTAATTAAAATCACATATGATTTATAAGTTGTTTACAATTAAAAAAATACGTAGTAGATCTTATATACTCCCTCCGTCTTAAAACTTTTTTCTCACTTCCCTTTTTTTCCGTCCTAAAACTACCTTCCCATTAGAAAAAAAGATGACAAATGACATTAATACCCTCATATATTTACATCAATTATCTTCTAACTCTATATTTTGAATGATTGTAAAAAAATTTAAAAAATCTTTTCTAAGGAGGGTAAAATTTGAAGTCAAAGCCAAAAATTAAAAATGGAGAAAAGTCAAACTGAGAAGAAAGTTTTAGGACGGAGGGAGTATTTATTTTTAAGACAAGTATTATATTTTATCGTTTTGACTAAATTATTTACAAATTATCCCTTGCTTTTTATAAATATCCTCGAAGGCTCGAATTACTTAATTTTCATTTAAATTATTTTTACTTCAACAAAAGAATATACTCCGTCCGTCCTAAAAGATTCTTTCTCGTTATTATTTACACAGTTGAACTTAAATCATTTTTTTAATCTATTTTCGTTCATGTCATCTTTTATTTTGTTGAAATACAAATTTTATTTTTAAATTTTAAACATACAATCAAATAAATTGGATTAAGAATAAAGTCGGTCAAATCTCGTAAACAGAAATGAGAAGAAAATTTTAAAATGGGGGGAGTATAACTTATAAGCAACTTATAAATTAAAAATTATTAATTAGTATTAAACTAACATGTCATTATTTAGGAAAAAAACACCCTCTTAACATCATTTAAATCACTATAGTGATGGAGATATGGGCTCAGCCCCCTGGGGCTATGGGTTTGGGTTGGACCTGAATCGTAGAACTGTGTCTTAGGAAGGACACACTCGGCCCAAAGTGCTCCCACAGCTGAAGATAAGATCAATAGTGACGCTATACCTATATGTCACACTTGACTCCCCTTTGCACCCTCGGCATACAGTTTCGGTCCAAGTGGTCAACTCATGGGGAGTCACGCGAGCTCAGCGATCAGAGGTCAAAGACATCATAAAAAGGTGACGTATCCTACACATGGTCAACAAGATAAACATCATTTTGAAGTGATGTTAGAAAGTGATATGTCTTAAGAACGAGACAAATATAATTAATGAGGCACATGGGCCTCAATGACCTAGGTTAGTTGGATTTTGACCCATGACCATATTGTATAAATATGACTCCTTGTCCAATCAAGGGGGGTCGGATTACAAGCCTTCTCTCTCTACTCTTTGTATTACCACATTCTTGGAATCCATCACATACAACTTTTTTCAATTTTTTATAGTTGTTGATTTCATTCTTTAAGAACTCCATTGTGCTCTATAAATTTTTATATTACGTGTTACGAGATTTTTTTAAATTTTATTTCTAATTCAATTTATTAGATTGTAAGTGTAAAATTTAAAGTTATAATATTAAAGACAACATGAAAATTTCTACTTGTACAAAAGAAGATGCGACAAGATTATATAATTTTATAAAATAAGTAGTAATGACCAATAATAAGAAAGTAAAGTGAGTTAAGTTTAACATTATACATAGTATTTGAAAAGGTATATGAGGGGCGAAAGGGTGTTTTGTAGTAGCTTTTCTCAATAGAGAAGTATTATGAAAAGTCAATTGAAATAACATTGGAATAGTTGTATTATTGATTAAATTATTCTCTCGTATAAAAAACAAAATGTCACAGTTCACTGTTTAAAATTTTCAAATTTTTTTGTTACTTTTTACGTTTTTATTAATTATTTGATAAAATAAAAATTTTTCGTCATCTGTTATTTTGAAAATTTTTTGTGTAGCTTTTAAATGCGTGAATTTTATTTTTTTTTCTATTTTAATTTTTAAATAAAATAAATTTAGAAAACTTGATATTTTCTATTTGTTTTTTGTAATGTGGCAAACATTTTACATAATGAATTTCAAACTTATATTATTTCTATGAAATTTCAGAACTTAGATCTTATTCTGTCTTCAAACCCTACCAAACAAGTCCTTAGTCTCTTTGTGCCGCAATATATACTCCCTCCGTCCCCCAGTTTTTGTCCACTTTTGACTTTTAGAACTGTTCATCTAAGCACTTTGACTCATCAAATTCTCTCAATGTGTAAGTCTAAATATAATCATGTGTGATTTTGTTTGATTTGTCGTAACATATAGATTATTAATATATAATTTCTAGATCATATAACTATTAAAAATGTATGAAGTATAATTACTCTCATCTCAAGATAAGATTCTTATTCATTTGTCAAACGTCGAAAATGTACCCAAAAAAATAATAATCTATGTTCTTATTTACGAAAGAAAAGTTAAAATTTATATACATTCTCAATAATGATCATGTATGTTACCCAAAAGTATTGTGAAATATTCATATAAAATACTATATTATCAGAGTACAAACTCATATTCTGGAAATAAAAACATAGAATTGATATTTTGGTATTTTTTCTCTATGTTTTACTCCTATTTAGAGTGATTTTTAAATTAATTACTCTCTCTGTCCTATATTGTTCTTCTTGTTTGTATTTACGAGGTTTGACCAACTTTATTTTCAATTTAATTTATTTGATTGTAGGTGTAAAATTAAAAAATAAAATTTATATATTTAAAAACTACATCAAAAGTTCTACAAAATAAGTGGTGACAAGATTATATTATTTTATCAAATACCTAATTAAAATATGTAAAGAAAGTAATTTAAGTTTGATTATGTGAAAAAATAACTGGGAAGAACATTTTAGGACAGAGGACATAAATTCTTTCATAACATATTTATAGGATATAACAATATAATCAAAATATGTTTTGTTTTATTGAACTTTTGAACAGGGATGATGACAATTCAACCCGAACCCGATTTTAACTGACTTGATCGAACACTAAAATATGCGAATCCAAATCGAGAATAAAATAATCTAAACCTGGACCGAAATTTTTTACCCGAGCTCGACATCAAGTTGGGTCGGGTATGGGTTTATAATTTTACCCGACTCGACCCGAACCAAACTCGAATGTTTTATAACTTAAAACCCTATCTACAGATATTAAGAGCAATGAGTTTAATCTCTTTTTTTCAATTTTCTGGTGCAATCACATCCCTCTCTTGCTCCTTACATTGCACCTCTGTGTGTTTTCCATTATCCTTGTATGGTTCTTCCTTCCTTTCATCTCTTCCTTCCTTGCATCTCTGATCTGTCCACTGTTGGCAGTTCTAGTCACGTAATCGTCTTCACAAGGTTCTACGATACCATGTATTCCTTTTATAATTTTTTGGAGTAAAATTCTATAATTAGTCTTTTATAATATGAAGGTTTGCCTATTTAGTTATCTATTATCAAATATTACCTAGTGGTCCTTCGTTTATGAGTATCTTTCCACATATAGTCTTTTTTGTACTATAATCATGTTGGTGTTCATTTGAGGGCTAAAAGTGTAATTTCACAGAAATAATATATCTTTTATTCATACAAAATTTCAAAGGCCGCTCTTGATGCGTCGTTTGTGAATTACATCCGTTTTCTATTACAACTATAGTCTACATATGTTGTCTTTCGTAAGGATCCCAGCTCATAACCATAGTCATTATTTTTGTATTATTCATCTAACCAATATCAGAATATATTTTACTGCACATAAGACTGATGTCAAATTATACTTTTAGCCATTAAATTAACACCAACATGACAGAAGATTACAAAAAGATCATTTGTGGAAAGACACTCATAAAAGAAGAACTACGAGAGTAATATTTGATAATAGAAGACTAAATATGGAAACCCCTCTTATAAATAAACAATTATGAAATTTACTATTTTTGTAACTCAATAAAAAATGAGACCCCAAAAAAGAGAGAGAAAATTTAGATTTATTCTTTTTAAAAGTACTGGGATGAGTTGAATTGGTTATTGATTAAATTAAATATTTGGGTTTTGGTTTAAATGTCGAGTTCGGGTTGAATTCGAGTTTTGAGTTTAAAATTTGGGTCGGTCTCAGGTATAATATTATCCAACCGGAACCTGACCCGCTGTTATCCCTACTTTTGAGCTAGTGTTTGCTTGACAACTACAGAATTTAGTTTTGTGTTGTGAAAAGTTTATTTAATTGCATCGTTTTGTTTTAACTTTTTAAATTTATTTTGTACCATTTAAAAGAATAAAAAATGCTACACGAAAATACTATTTCTAAAAGTGAATATTTTTTAAAAAATATAATTTTTTTTAAATTTTACGCATTTTTTTAAAATAAATTGAACATAACACCGATTTACCATCATATGGTAAATGCAATGAAATTTTGATTTTAAGGTGAAGAAATATTAATTAGTTCAAGTGGTAAACACACTCAAAAAACTTTTTTTAACACTAATAGCTCAATTGTAATGTAATATCTGTTCATATATTTTCAACATATTAAAACTCGTAAAGTTACTGCCGCACAGAGAATCGAACGCGTGACCTCTCCTTTAGAAGAGTCATAGCAGTGTCATTGGCCAACAAGGTCCTTGGCCCCACTCACAAAACTTATTACTTGGTTCTTCCAAAATTCTATCCTTGATTTTTATATTTATAAAATAAATTATACTATAAATAAATTTCAATCAAACATCTTAAACCAAACTATTTCCCTTTTATTTTAGGATGAAGATAGTGCTATATATGTAAAAATATACGGAGTATATTGAGTATTTAGGTAAGGAGGAGAAAAGAAAATAAACTAAATACGAGCAAAATATGGAAAAAATACTAAAATATGAGTTCTATATTTTTTAATCTTGAAATATGAGTTACAGTACTAATTATGTCAGTGATGGGAACCAAGCCCATCGAGAGAATACTAGCGAATTGGGCCCAGGCCCAATTTAGATTCCGTCCATCAAAAGGAGTGTCCAACCCAGAGAAAATATATTGGGCCAGTCAAGGGAAGTTATCCGTGAGGAAAGATAGGAAAAAGGAAAAGGATTGGGGGCTTAAGAATGGGCTGAAGCCCAGCCCACTAAGAATAAGCTACCCCAAAGGAAAGAAATCGTATGGAAGAGTCTAGAGCAGTCCCCCCTAATTGAAGGGACAAGGACAAGGGGAAAGGGACGGACAGGGAGCAAGAGATGGACGGACAAGCTTGTCCTCCAGTGGACGGCCTCAAGCTGAGATACATCCCCCCAGATGGAGGAAGGCTGGCACGAATATTCCCCCAATCACTGCCATTATTGAAGAGGATAATGGATGGGGAGTGCCTATAAAAGAAAGAGGGACTTGGGGAATGGAGGATATCTTGTAATGAGGAGAGAAAATACGTGAGTAAATAATAAAAGATATTCTAGCGATCCTCAAGCATATTCCGTTCCTAAGAGGACCGAATAAAGGAGAGGACCGCCGATTTGAGTTATTATCTAGTGAGCAGTGCTTCTATTACTATTAATTACTATTCTCGTATTATCTTTCAATATTATAAGGCCCAGATACCTATATTTGGACCTAGGCCGATCTACAGTCCTTGGGAAAATATTGGGTATCCATCACTGGCGCCATCCGTGGGACCGATTGAAGCTTCTTAACCTTCTCGGGAGTTGATAGCGAG